TAAAAGTACGTAAAGGTTCAGACTGAGTGTAAATGAACTGCATTACTCAGTAGCCATTAACAATGCAATATGCATATTATTTCAATAATGTTTGCTATGTTTTGTGCAAGCTCGTAGAGGAAAGAAATCCAATTTGCACCCAGAATTTTACTAATTATAGCAGAATATTCAGAATATATCTCGTAAATGAAGAAAAAACGAATGCGGCTTGCGTTTTTACTTGAAACGTCTTGTTTACGCTTTATGGCGTAAGCGAATAATGCTTTTAATTAATAACAATTAAAAAACTGAAAGGGAAAACTAAAAGACAAGAAACAGACCGATGCGTTTACAAACATACAATTACTTAACTAATTATACCTTCTCCATCCGAGCCTCTTGCTACAATGGAACGGAAAAAGCAACAAAATCATAAATTGCTATCACTGCTACATTGAAAATCATTTCCGTAGAATTCATTTAAATACTGCAATACTGCAATACTTATTTAAAGGAATATACATTTCAGTTGTAAGTTTTGCTTACTACTAACTTTAATTTTGCTTTGATAGAAATTGCATGCAAGCACCAGAAGCGGTTCTTTAGTATTCGTGATCATGTCACATAAAACTCCAGTTCATCATTTATGTCACATATTTCTACTTTCTGTCTTGGAAGAGTGATGCCAGTGGCTTCAATAGGATAAGTATTTAGTCCATGACACATTTCGTAAAAAGTAATTACATTACAAGTCTCTTAATTATTGCTGATTCATATTCTTTCATATTCGCGAAATCGTTTAGAAGTTGCTCTTTTGAATCTAATTATAATTATAACGATGTTCATTATGATTGTGATAATTATCACTATTCTTGTAATATATACTTTTTTATTAATTATCATTGCATTAATTACAATTAGTATTAGTACTGTTCAGATCATCATGCTTCAGATGATTCCATATCAGCAGAAGTTATCTGGTTTCGGTATAGTATGTTGTATAGTAAATTAGTACAATTTCGGTGTTTTCCACATAATTTAAATACAATTAAGAGAACTACCTTCTTCTACTTTCTGTAAAATTACAGAATAACAGATGGAAAGCACTTAAGTCATGTGTAACTTTCAGGTTAATATGGCCCACCTATAATAAAAATAGATCCTCGAAACACATCAAGAGAGACTGCGTGAATACTGCAAGGCTTACCGCAGTGCTTCCTGGTCATTGGTGTATAGGAAACTACGCAGAGAAACTGAGCATTCCCCATAATTCTCACTGCAGAATTATGAGCGTTGTGAAAAACCGCAGAAAAAAGAAACCATAAATCATTTTCAATATGAATGCCGCGCATTGGCGTCCAGAAGATATAGGTTCTTAGGAAGATACTTCTTTGATAGTTTATCAGACTATTCATTGAACGTTTACAACATTGTTTTGACTCAGAAAGAAACTATTGTAAATTAACAAGAATAAAAATCAAAACAATTTTAACAAAAAATTAGTATATTTGATATTCCGCCTGACATATTCTCTAGGTCTGCTCCAACTGAAGAATGCACCAGGGATAAAGATTTGGTTTGAATGAATTGATAATTGAAATAGTGATAATGGGTATAATTTTACCCATCGGTTGTAATTATAAGTATTGCTTAAATTTATAATATTCGGTATAATAAAAATGCTATAATGATTCCACAATTTTTTTAGTTGGAAAAGCTATATAAGTCAATGTAGTACTTTTAAAAACTGCAATTTAATTTTAATAAAGAGTTTTTCTTTGAGTAGGTGTTTTCTACATCAATATCAGCAGGGTTATTATTACGTATATTTAATATTTTACAGAATAACGGCAGCGTACTACATATTATGCTATATATCGCATTATTTAAATATTAATAAAATTTTTGGGATGCATTCAATTGACGTCATGTTATAATTATTTTTATTAATTATAAGGCACGCAGTTAGCTTCGTTACGGTTATAGTTCAGTTTATCAAAGATGGCCCAGATGCTCTATGGGTTTATTATGATACCCTTGTCATGACAAAAAGGCCTATAATTTTTGTATACAAATGTATGTACGTAGTTCCTTCTAGCAAACTAACTCGTAATCTGTTTTAAGGCCATTAATATATATTACTACGAAAGACCTCACAATACATTGTTGTATTTTATTGGTGTTATCAATGTACTGTGAAGAAAAAACTAACAAATTGATAGGAACTATGACTGTAATAAGTAACCTTGCATAATAACGCAGCCTTACATGAAAGTGTAGAAAGTCCCACCATATAAATCTTGAGATTTAGCGAAGCAGAATTAAAATAAGACATTCAAAACTCGAAATTTTCCGAAACAGCAGAGAAATTAAAATAAAATTTTCTGAAATAATTTTTGAGATGGATTTTCTTCTGAATGAGTTTTGGGTTACCGGAAATGTTCCAAATTTGCATCCAAACATAATCAACTTTTTACGATGATTCTTTTGAATATTTCAAAAATTGGTTGAAAAATAAAGTTTATGAGTTTCGAGTATTGCCAAATATCCATCATCAGTAGTCTTGGAAATAATTCTTGTATTTAATTATTCGTATATAATTATTTTTTGAGACTGCAAGTACCAGGAATCGAACTCGGGTCCTACCAAAAGAATTTATTTTTATTATCTCTAGTAGTTCAGAAATTATGATCGTTCGTGTGATGGTAGATGCAGGTTTTAGTTTATCGCAATGGATGACATAGTGCTTAGGCTTACGCTTAACACTTATTGCAAAAATGTTATTAATTCTTTTGTTAGTAATTAAGTAGGTAACAAACTAAGCGCCAAAACAAAACTTCGAATATTTAAATCAAATGTCATATCCGTACTTCTGTATGGGTGCGAAACATGGAAGTTTACTACATCCATTGATTCGCGAATACAAGTTTTCATAAACAAATGTCTAAGACGCATCTTTAACATATGGTGACCAGAACGCATCTCTAACGCGCAATTGTGGGAAAAGATAGACATACAAAGCGTCAAGAGTGAAATCAAAAAACGAAAACGGCAATGAATTGGACATAAGTTGGGCGAACCGAATTCGTGTATTGTTAAGCAAGCCCCAAAGTGCAACTCACAAGGCAGTCGCCGGCCAGGCATTCCTTTAAGGATAATTGATGTCGAACTAACATCAGCGCGGTGGTTGTGGAGCGACATTTGCACGACAGCTCCATATAGCATACGGTTTAGACCAATTGTTGTGGCTCTATGCTCTACTGAACAGTGCCACATCCACTGACAATAATATTGTTCCACTGGGCGTTAATGGAACAATGAAGAGGAAGAATTAAGTGTACATTATTGTCCAGCTGGGTCAAAATTTTATTGCACACCTGTGTAAAAATTTTGTTGGTCACCTGGTTCAAAATTTTATTGGTCACCTGGTTCAAAATTTTATTGGTCACCTCGGTGAGTATTGATAATGGCACAAATATATTGACTTTTTTCAATCAACATATTAAATTGCTTATTAATATAAGTTAATATTATAAGTATAATATTATATTATAGTATAATAAATTAATATTAGTGGTTATGTCTGAGAATGAACTCAGTTATGTTTCTCTTTATTTTTTTTATCTCTTTCGTCTTTCATTTCTTTTTTCCACACCTCACATCAATAAATCATTTATGGATCGCTTTAAAAATTTGGTTTGTTGTTTTTTCTCACTTCAAATCGCACAATATAAATACATCATAATCCCACATGGATAAATTTAATCAATTATTTTTATTAATTATTGACAACAACATTAAAACTAAGAACTAAGATTAACACATATTACATACCTTTCATTTATTCATTTATTTATTTTCATAGATATATGAACACACGATATATTAAAACACCAATATGAGTTTAGTTTTTTGACAATAATTTTTTTATTAATTACTTTATAATACCCGGCAATGCCTGGGTTCTTAATACTACATCATGAGCACATTAAAGTATACATATCAAAATGATAAATTATTAAAAACAGACGGAGTATATATGATTATTTCGTAAATTGTTGATCATTTACAATATTTTCTCAAATTGAGTGATTAATAAGCTTCTACGGACAGCGGAGGAAACTTGTAACTTCGATTTCAATTACGACTTCAATTCGCTATTTACTTTTATTTCTTTAAATACAATATTTATATATATGTATTGCTACTTCTTACATATTGCAATAATTTCAATGTTTCAAAATATGTTTCAGAATATGTTTCAAAATATCCGCAAATAACTTTGAAACGCATTATCGGACATACATATATGTAGATCATATGGACATATCGTACAATTCGATTTATTTACATTTTTTTATAAAAATTGGAACGCACAAATCTTTAACTTTTGATTTTATAGATTAGTTGATCAGTTAGTTATACATAGTTCAAGTTGTATAAAATTCTTTCATTTATTTTATATTTAATATAAATTTAATTAGTTACATTACACTTGCTTATACTTGCTTACACTTGCTTACATTTGCTTATACTTGCTTACAAATTACGTTATCCTGTTAATTTTCTGCTAGTTTTATAATAAAAGAAAAATAACGAAAATTAATAAAATATTTATTATTATCACAGTATTTATACAAATTAAAAATTCTTGTATATGGTTTCCTTTCCAATTAAGAAGATGCCTTTTCATAATAACATTGTACTCGCATTAGAAAATACAAAATAATATATCATACATATCATATTATATAATACTTTACAATCGGATCGTTAAAAATTTACAATTATTAAATACAGAAAATACGATACTTAAAAGAATTATAAATATTACTTAATTTGTTTTTGTAATAATATTAGTATTTGGCATCAATCATACAGTTGTTCTTTGAAACAGTTTTGATCAAATCTACTTATACTTTCTAGAAGATGACATCAGTTCTGTAATTAATTGATTAATTGATTAATTGATTAATTTATGCAATTTCAATCAATTAGCTAAACAACAGATTAATTACAATAATAATTAGTTAACACAAATCATTTAAAAATCTTTATTATTTATGTACACGTAAGCATGTACACCACATTAGCAAAATAGAAGTCCTGCAAGTCTGATACTTATAGACCTAGTACTCAACGTATGTACTTGGTGAGTGCATAAATTAGAAAGATTTTGGTTTGAATTAAATTTGTAAATTTGAGGTTAATTTTGTGCTAAAACATTCATTTAAGTTATAATTATAAAGTTCAAATTCATTTATTTTGATGTGTTCAATATAACCTGTAAAAATGAAGGCACAAAATGTCTTTTAAAAATTAAACAGTTTGCTAATATTTAAAGAAGATATGTAGAAATGTATCGTATGTATTATTGCGTCTATTGAGTATTTATAAATTTATAAATTTATTTATGTTTTTTAACAATATCAATATGCATTTACACATTATTAGTTATTAGTTAAACTGTTCAAAGTGACAATTTCGAAGAGAAGGCGCTCATCGAGGCCAGAGAGGATCATCATTTACACATTTAACGTTTCATATTTTAATGAAATGGAAGTGTTTATAAATTGAAATTAATAAACAATTTTCCATATATTAATTTTCCATACATATTATAAAATAGAAACCAACATCTGAGTATATGTGTAAATGCATACACATTCGCTTGAGATCCTTATATAAACATACATATAGTAAAATACAATACATATATATATGTACTTTGTATATATCGTGGTTACCTGACTTAATTCGAAGTTATTAAAATGTTTTGTTTGTTTAATTTGTTTTTGTAATTTCTAAGTACTAGTTTATACACTCCACTGCCATTTTTACTCCATTAAATGCCATACATTAATTTATCATCATATACGGTGATTCATCTCCATTAATACCACTTGGACTATCAATGGACGGATTAATACGTTTCTCTTTTTGTCGTCTGTTACAAAACCAGACTCTCACTACTTCTTTTTCCATGCAGAGCCGATCCGCCAATTGACTTATTTCCTCGCTGGTTGGTTTTTGATTCATAAGAAATGCTTTTTCCAGGGCACCGCGTATTGAAGTTTCTATTGAAGTTCTTTTTTTACGACGTCGCCCCATAATTTCAGGTGTGGTTACAGTTGTTTGTAACGCAGCAGGATCAAAAATACTGAAATAATATTGCATTTATTAATTTCTTTTGTTTTATATATGTTTAACTATATTAACAATAATATATACATATACAGTAAAAATTCTTTTCACATTTACTCTTCTTGAATGAATAGACAATTTTTTAAACCAAGTTTTTTTTTGAAATCGTTATCAGAAACAATCAATTAATTCTTTCATTAGTGTTAGCGTTCAGAACTCCAGTCGCTCAATTGTCAGACTGAAGTTCCGTCGCACTTATAGGTTCATATCTACCTTAGTGGTTATAAACCCATGCCCTCAGTACATCGCCACTAGACATAACTATTGAAAGAACAAAAGTTTACTATTGATGAGTATCTGGTCAAAAGAGTTTTCACTGCATAATATGCGAATATGAGATATTATATATCTATGGTTATTTACATATAAATCTATAATTTATTTAAACTAAGTAATAAAAAGAACATTGAGGTTTATTAGTTTTTATATTAAATTTAGATGTTTGATGTTAACATAAGATGGGTTTGTGTATTTAAGTATTCAAACCTCCAGTTATCTACTAATTGGAGCTTCGTCACTGTTATGGCTCCATAACTACTTAAATGGTTATCGAATTATTATTACTATATCATTATACTTTAACTTTAAACTTTTCTATCTTAAATGATTTTTTTTTAGTAATATTTAATTGTTTAAATTCAATAATAAAATTTAACAGTAAAAATTATGAATTAGTACTATTATACAAATATTTACTATTAGTGCTAAAACTTTTATTAATATCGTTATATTATGATTATTATGATTCTATTTATTTTCTAATAATTGATGTTAGGCAAATAGGCTAAAAAAGTGATGTTATTTTGCATTAGCAGATATGAGTTATTCAATGCCTTGAGCGAAGTGCTAACCATAGTTCTATATCTGAGAAAGCCTTAGTATATTGTTTAAAATATAAACATCGAAAATATTATATCTATAATACCCACAAAATCTACGTATTGTCATACTAAATCAAATTAGTAGCAATTGTGAAGCAAACAATTCTAGTTTGTTCCAGCAGTCAATTGGAACAAACTATTACAATTAATAATTGTAAATGTGCTCATAACAGCACCAAAAACCACAAAAATTGACGAATGAATGTACAATTATGCTTAAAAGTTTCTTAAAAATAAATATTTATAATGCTAAAAAGAAACGAGTTTCATGGGCTATACAAATATCTACGTATGAAAGGTTTTGTGCCAAAATCCTAAAATGTGAACTTCAGAAGACTGCAGATTAAGTAAAATTAAATGCGCTTTTAAGAATATACCAGCCAATATAAAAAAAGAAGAAACCGAAATGTTAGTTGGAAAAGAGCAGCTTTTCAACAGAAAAATGATATATGTTAAAAGTATTATAGACAAAATTAATAAGTTAATAAAATTGCTGTAAGTTAACTGCATTATATATAAAAATGAACTTGTGGGCGTAGAATTCGTAACATTAAAATACATTATTCTATTGAAAAAAGTGAACAACAATTCTACTCATGGAAGTAAATATCGAGTGCACCATTTGTGATATATAGTTTATAATTTGAGATTCTTCTTCTCTTAAAAAAATATCCAATAAATATATTAGATATTATTTAAAATACAAACAAAACTTGTTTTTTTATATATGGTATGTTATTGTAATAACGATATTGTAGTAATTATTAATAGTTAGTTAGTTGTGGTGGAGGGAGGAACGAGTCCTCCTTAATTGGCTAAAAAAGACGTTTAGAATCCACAAAACCTCGTAATAGTGGGTAGTAGAGAGAAGGTCAAGCTAGAATCAGCAGAGGCATTAACAAACGCTATAAAAATAAAATTTATACTTTTAATAAAATAATTATATTAAAATATTTAAAAATAGTATACTAGATCCAATGACCGTTTCTTTTCTTTTTCTAAAGAAAAAGTGGTTCAATGTTATATATAGTTATTAATTAATATACATTAACTATATAATAATATTATATTAAATAAACTATTAAAAAATTAATAATATATATTAATGATAATTAATATATAGTTATTTCAGATACTGTAGAACTCTTATGAGTGCATTTTGATGCTTTATTTTGAATTAAAAGTTAAAAATATTTCACCCTGAAGATGAATATTGACTATAATCGATACATTGTTGAAAATAAAATATAATTTTCAGATAATAATTTAAAATAATTTAAAAAGTTGTATAAAAAAAGTTATTTGAACAATTGACCAATTAAGTTGTTTAAAAAATATAAATAATAAAAAAAAATATTACGTTAATCTAACCTTAATTACTGCTGATCTTAATAAGCTAAATAAGAGGCAGATTTTGCTTTTTTATATATTATAAAAATTTCTTTATAAATTTAACGCTTGATTTTTAACTTGATTCTTAACTCATGAGGTGTACTTTCATGACATGACTTCTCTTTATTTTATTTATTCTATCAAAGACACATTATTCAAAATATTTATATAGATAATAATACATATAGATAAAAATACACTTTAAACTCTTATTGAACTCATATTGAAAAGTAAACATTGCTAGAAATAATCAAGTGAAAAGCAAAAGGATAGGCATGGGATCCCGTATCAAAGCGTATTTGTTGACAAAGCCGATTTGTGTACAACGTACGAACAGGTCTGTAGAAACAACCTCAGGTGCTCTAAATATGTTTACTTTATATTGCACCTGGTAAAAACGAGGTCGAGACATGAGAACTACGAGTACGAGTATGAGTACGAGTACGAGTTAGCGTTTACATTTTTTATTTAAAATCCAAAGAATATTGTAGTTTAGCGAAACGCAAAGTAAAAAGCACACAAAAATTGATTTTAATAAATTTAGTATGAATCAACGATGTCACGTCATCGATAAAGAACTAAAATAAAATGATAAAAAAAAGAATAAATAGACTTCTAAGAACAAGATAACAGCACAATTAAGTTCTCTATGTTCTACCCTTCTTGTTATCACAAGTGTAAAATAAATAAATAGTAAAATTAGAAATAAGAAATAAATAAATAAGTAAATAATTTACTGCTAAATATAATCACTAAAAATCTATTTCCCAACTCAATACAAAATTAATGTTAAGTAAAGGGCCCATCCGTTCTTTAGAACGTGCACAAAAGCGCTAGCGCTAAATAAAGAGTATGCTTTTTCCAATAATTAAGTTATATAATCAACACGTTAAGTATAACATTATAATATATAACTAATTAAATTAAAAAAACATATAATTAAAATTTAATAATATACAATTATATTTCCAACACATTTTGAGTAAAACTGCTCTTAATAGTTTACACAAGAGTATCTACAGAAATACTCGTATAAGCAAACAAACAATATACAACGTAGAGGCACTAAAGCAATGGGGCATGGGGTATGGGGAAAAGCTGTTTATCAAAGTTTTACAATTACTTTTATAATCAACGTTCACATTCAAGTCATAAACAACATTAACAAGAATTTATGTTAACTCAAACACAAACTAAAAATTACTAATCAATGAGGTTGTTTCATAAATTTCCATTTTCGTCATTTGTGCAAGTGTTTTTTCGCTTTAATCGTAGAAAATACTGCGAATATTTTATTTCGTTCTATTCTTTAATTAAAGATATATCTTCAGAAGCTTATCTAAATTTAATAACGAAACTGCTTAAGTTTCTCACAAATTAGAGACAAAATCGATAGAACAGAAAATGAAAGAAATTATACATCAAAACTTTAAGCGAAAATCGCTTTTATTAATTTCAGCAAAAACATACGCTATTTACATATTCATACATGTAGTATGAATATGGCTACCAGAAGTCCATTGCTACGACACTTATTATCCTTTTTTGTTTCACTTGTCGCTCTGTCTAGTTTCTTTTTTTTTTGTTTTTGTTTTTTGTTTTGCTTTTTCTACCGAAGCTATCATGGTTTGCACAGCTTCTATACAAGAGCACAAGATATACACAAGTTTTTGTGTCTGCTCTGCTTATTTTGTTTCATCTCATAAAAATTAAAGTTTCTGCTTTAACTGATTTGGTGTGAAAGGTACCACATAACGCTTTGTTTGATAAAATGCGTTGGCATTATAGATATACCAAAGCGCTATGTGTGTTGTTTGTTCTGTAATCGCTTAATACGAGAAGTGTTTTATTTGCAGGTGCCATTTTAAATTTGCGACATGTTTTATCTGTCAAAATTGGATCTGACACTTTGACACTTGACAAACAAATATGTGCGGTCATTCGTTCGTTAATTGGGTGTCGGAAGTATAAGCAACACACCACAGGATTTTTTTTATGTTAAATTTTAAAAATCATTCTGATAATTTTTATACTAAGTTTACCATCTCTTTGAATAAACAATATATGCACATATATAAAAACGTGCTGTTGGTTGAGGTTTTGTACAAACATAGAGAGAAAACGTGTAACATTTTTAACGTCTTAAATGATTAGTCGTCTGGTGCAACTTTAACGTTGCGATGTCATTGGACCGTAGAAGAAATTGGCGCAACCATTTATGCGTGTAGTGTGTAACGTGTTAGGGTGTATATCGTCTTTTTTATTTTTGACTAAGATGTAGACGACCTCAGCTTCTAACAGGATAAATACGTGCTTCGAGATACGAAAAGGTTATCGCTTCTAAAATATTCTATGTATATATGTACTTTATATTATAACATATTTATATTTCTCGATACCGCATAATCGCATCAATTTGAACTTTGGATAAAAATAAAAATTTTTATAAGTTAAATAAGTTAGTTATTTTTATTATTAAATAAACTAAATAAATACTAAAAATAAAATAACACAAAATTGTATTATTATTATTAAAAATATTTAATTTAATGAAGTTTAGTTGTGGTGATTGAGAAGAAAAACTTAAAATAACTAAACAAAGAACCTAAATATAATAAATTACAATTTAATTTAATTTAAGTTTTCAGATGTACACTGAAGATGGTCGGACTAAAGTAGTCCGAAATATTTGTATAAAAAATATTTGTTTTTTAAATACATAAAAAATTTTGTACTAAAATTTAATAAGGGTTACTATTTATTACATTTTTAAGTGTTAAATAAGTGTTTAAGTGTCAAATTTAATTTAATTGGGTTTAAAGTCGAAAACATTAATAACAATAAATTAACTAACATAATTAATTAGCCTGTGCTACCACTCACTGTCAAGAGCAAAGGATTGCGAAGGAAGGAAGGAATTAATATAAAACTTTATTATTATTGTATAGAATACACAGAAATAAGATATAATAAAAACAAGGTATTTATTTTAAATAGAAACACGCTAATAATGAAAAAATTTCTATACAAAAATTAATGAAGTTAATTTTTTGAACTAATCATTCATCTGTTATAGTCAAATATTTATCAATACTAGCATTTGCATATATTTATTAGTATTGGACAATTAATACTAATTATATTTTCTGACAATATATTTTAGTCTCTACTTCTAATAGGTATATTTTAATTTTTAATGTGTAATATTTGCGTTCATACAGTGTTTTACTGAAACTACAGACGGTCAGTTGTTGCTGTTACTAGTCGCTTCCCTTATTTAATTTTGCAAACCTTAAATAAATAAAAAATTCTTAATAAGTTGAATTATTCATTCTCAAATTAAGGATTAGAAAAATTATTATAATTTGTAATAAACACATGTGTCCATCGTAGTGTTGTCCTTGTATGAAAAGTACGTGACTGAAATCATGGGAGCATTACACTGAAAGTGTTGGTTAGATTATTCCTAGCTGCTGAATCGACTTTGAGGTGAATGTAATGTTTTCTGTACTAAAAACAAAAACATGTGTAATTCTGGAGAGATTACTTCAAACTAAAATTTTTTGGCAAATTATTATAAAATATATATTTTTTTTGTTTTTATTCAAAAAAGCATATAAGTATATATATACTTATATATACTTCAAAAGAGCATATAAGTATATAATTTTGGAAATATAAATATATTTATTATAATTAAAATTATAATGTACGCTCTCGTTAAATAAAAATTTATTATATACGCTTTTTAATTAATTTAAAATTAAAATTAAAAATAATATTATTAAGAAAAAACTAAAACAAACTGTAAAAATGTTGAGATAAATGAAGCACTATAATTTCCAAACTTAATTAAGCATGAAAGTTTATTTTGACATCAAGTCAAAGAATTTGAATGAAATAAAGCTAAAATTACCTTTATAAATATAAATTATTTGAATAAACTATTTTTTTTAGATATCAGAAGTTTTTTTTTGACACTATTTACTATATTGATATATATAATATATAGTCAATAGACACTCTTATTTAAGTTACATTTAGTTTTTTTCGCTTTTTAGATCAAGAAAATACCTCATGAAGTAAAAGCATTTTTAAAAGAAATACTCTGTATAAATCTGATTAAAAAAGAGATATACACCAAACGATTTTAAATTCATTTGAAATTTGGTTAAAAAATGTACCTAAGTATATTTTATATAGAAGGTAATTACTAAGAAATATCAATATTATTCAATTACATTGAAATAGTTATTTGTATTGCTGAAAAATAACTATAGTGTTAAATTCAAAATAATGGAAAATCTCTTAAAGACATCAGGAAGCTTACATCAGGAAGATTACCTTGATATACTTATATGACTAGTAGACCACATTTTACACTTCTAAGTAATTTAATGCAATTTAAAAAAAAAAAAATGAAAATACAATGATGTGCAGACGTAAGAAATAATGTACATTCCCGGACTATTCGTCAGAAAAGTTTCATTGACACATTAAAAACATTTGGCTCTCTACAGTGCGACCCTATAGACAAATACACAAATTGGTAAAGGCCAATTAATTCGTTAACTGGAGCTAAAATAAGAAATCACTTTTAAGAAATCACTATTATGTAAAGGATTAAGAAGGGACTAATAATAAAAGAATTATTACTGTATTATAATCAAAAATAATAAAATACAGGTTTCGATATATGTATATGTAGATATATCGGAATACTATAAATTTGATATAATAGTTCCTATAAAATAGTCACTACCGTCATAAGGGATGTTAAAATCAAACATAATAATAAATAAATAATAAAGAATAAAAAAGAAAAAAAAAATAAATTAATTAATAAACTAATAATGAAATAACAATAAATGAAATGCTAAGAAATAGTAAAGTAATTATAATGTGATAAATTAACAATAAGAGAAAAATATAATAATTTTATAAATAAGATACAGCGAAATAACAATAAAAAGTTGGATTACAATAATTCTAACAATCTATTTTAAAAATTTATTAAATTTGAATCAAATTTTTAGATAAATAATTTTTAACATCTTAAAAGTAACTTTATTAGTAGAAATGATCTAGTATTTTAATTAAAGAGGACTTAATAGAAATACTAACTGAAAGATCAGGAATTTTGTACTTTGATTGTATTAATGCTAGTTTATTGAAGATAGGAGTTCAAAGCAAAAATCAAAATCGAATAAGCTATAACATCCATCTTAACATCGTGTCTGACATTTACCACAAATTAGTGGTATTTGTTTAACAGGATCTAATAAGGCTGGAATATCCTTCAGGTTATATGTTGTATACATTAAAATGCTTTAAGATGTACTCAAATGTTAAGTTATATCTGTATAAAAGCGCAGAGTTTTGGTGTTATAAAAACTTTTGAGAGAATACTCATCCTCAGCTTTCTTTTCAAATAATGAAAAAAAAAAAAAAAAAAACAATTGGTTAAAAAAAAACTATGAGTTAAGGTAAATTTGTTCAATATAGGTACCGGTTAGAAGAATTTTGTATAGGTATTTATAAGGTAAATTAAGGTAAATTACTATATAATCTGCAAAAATTTTCTTGAGAAAGTATTATCAACACTATGGTGCTTACTTTATATTATATATAATTTCAATTTTTAATTATTTTTAATTCACTATAAAGTAAAATATAAATTTATTTGCTTAAATGATGAGTTTGACTAAAATAAGTAATATCTATTAGATTTACTTTAAGAAGCGTATTCAAAGTGGTAGGTATTACTGGCGTGGCAAAATAACGTTAAGCACTGTAAAAAGCATAGCATTTGAATATTGTTAATATGCGGTGTGAAAACGCAATCAAAGTTGATGTGTTATTATCGCGTTTCAATAAACACAGCCCTGTAGGACGACCGAATGTGATATACGTATATTTACCTAAGCATGCGTTTTAATGACAGCTTTAAAGTAAAATAAAATTATAATAATAACAACCAATTATTAATGACCAATAACCATAACCAATATTGATCATTTCGAATCTCAATGCTTTTATGGTTTCGTTTTCACTTGTCTTCACAACTGTCAAAAACACGTTTTACCTTACTTTGCTCGACCGCAATTTGGAAATGCCTTCTACAAGCCGCTCGTATCTAAACCTTTGCGTGCGCACGAAACTAACAGAAACATATTGCACAAGTTATTAACTTATAATTTAATTGATTTATTATTTATTACAAAATATACTCGTAAATGTAAATTCTTCTTTATATTTTTCAATTAATTTTTGAATTTGATTTTGAATAGAAATTGGAAGTACTTAATTTTTGGAAACGGTCGCACAGGGACGAGAAGTATTTACGAGTATCTGAACTAAGTCAGTATAATTATAGTTATTATTTTTAATATATTTGAACACGATACATACAGACATGGGTTCTATGTTACATTTTTATAATAAATAATAAATTTGAATACCTTCCCACTTCCTCTTTATAAGAAGTAGTCCACTTGAAAAACCCCACAAAACCCAGACGAGGCAGTAGAGTGATAATCTGGTGATAATTGAGTAATAATAACAAGCTATTATTTTGCAATTTAAAATTGTTCATACCAGATTATTAAATCTTGTATATGATTTTTGATTATAAGATTTTATATATTCTATCATCAATACGAAGTTTTGCTATTCTGTTCTACTTATGGTAGATGTTGTTGTTGTTGTTGTTTAATAGGAGCTCAACTAGATTGCAATTATAATATGTATTCAAGAAATTATTGACTAACATTTGCATCGTGTTTCCACTTTAGAATTTTAGAATTTCGCAGACCTAATAGATAAACATGCATGTGTATTTTGTTAATATTTTTATAAAACCATAGCCATAATTATCATGCATACATAAACCTAACAATTTATAACTTCACATCATACAATGCATAATTAATTTAGAATACTCATAAAGTTAGCGGCATGCAATGTTTTCATAGAGTAAATAATAAGACACTCACCCTCCAGTTGCTTGTATCGTACGATCGGCGTCTTCCAACCATTTTTGCAGCAGCGGCTTCAGCTTACACATATTCTTGAAACTTAAATTTAATGCTTCAAATCGGGAAATTGTTGTCTGCGAAAAGTCATTACCATAAAGTTTACCCATAGCTAAGCCGACGTCACCTTGCGTGAAGCCGAGTTTTATGCGGCGTTGCTTGAATGTTTTTGCGAACTGTTCGAGTTCTTCCAAGTCTGTGGTTTCTTCAGGAGAAGGTTCTCCAGCCGTACGGTTGACGATATTCATATTTTTCGGCATTTGGGGTGTTTGTGGTCCTCCATGTGGTGTACTTGGAGTTAAAATTCCGCTTATTTTTAAACTAAGTGCAGTGTTTGGTGGTGTTACATGAATATGACTATTTGAACCAAAATTGGTTTGTGATGTTGTTGGTGAAGAGATTGGACTTTGTGTGGGCGTACGATTTGTGGGCGTTGATGTTTGTTTGTTTTTCATGCGCAAAGCTTCCATTTGATGTGGACTGTAATGATGATGTTCTTCTTGCTGCTTTTGTAACGCTTGTAGCTGTTGTGCAGCTTGCGATAACGCTTGCACACGGCTTTGTAGTAGGAACTGTGCTGCAGCTACTTGAGCTGCAATATTCGGATCATCATGTGGTAGACCCAATGAGCCACTACGTATTATATCTATACAGTTTTGAAATTGTTGATGTAGTACAGACTGTTGCTGATGTAAAGCCTGCTGGAACTGTGAAAAATCGGGTAGAGATGCTGAACTATTGATAGGTATTGGTTCATTTGTGTTAGCAGGAAATAAATTGGCCGCAGGTAAACAATTAGTTGAAGCCGCCAACATTTTGGTTGATATGGTATTATTAGTTTGCAGGACATCGCTATTATAAGAATGCTCGGATAGCAATGAATTCATTGTTCGCTGTAATGGCACATATGATTGCAGTATGTGTTCAGAGTTTTCATTTGTTAAATTTAGTGCTGTGGAGCCTGTATCCTCATTATGAACTCTCCCTAAACAATTTAAATGTTTTTGAAAATGCTGTGTTGATTGTTGGAGTTCACTTATTTGATGAGGTTCAAGTATGGATAAATCTTCTTCATGTTGTGATATGGAAATCTTAGGTGATTGACAGGGTTCACTGGAGTTATCAATGCTTGAAGTAATATCATCACAGTCCGATGCTAAAAAAAAACACAATAAAAGAAGATTGTAAGTATTTGTATATATTAATAGCAATAAATATTTTTCAAAAATATTATGAAATTATGAATATATTATGGATAAGAAATAATAACAATTATCATATTATGGATGAGTAACAGACTGAACGTAGTACCCTACTTTACCGTTCTACACGAATAATAATCGAAACAAATTTTAAATTGATCTATTGAGTTGGTCAAAAAAAATCTCAGGCTGGTATCAAAAGTATTTTATTCCAAGTTAATGGTAATATCTAAATTCAAGGCTGCAACCTTATGGCATTTGTGATATTTTGTGTTTTGTGGTGCTATGATAGCAGTTATGTTGATTAGTGTGCTTAGATGTGGTAGAAAGTGATTCCTGTCGACTCTGTCGTGAGGAGAAAGAAAACATCAGAACATGTTCTATGCAACTGCCCAGCGGCGGCAAGACGTACATTTAAAAGGGAATCTTAGTCGCAAATCAAATAGGTAAAATTAAGCCCACAGCAATTACGTTATTTATAAATGGTCTAGAATTGTTTTAGTTGGGCTTTTAGGGGCACAATAGATTTTTTAACTTGGAGTACATTCATACCCTAAACGACCCACAACTTAACTGACTCTGATTCAAAAAGGTAAACTGCCTTGGGAGACATGTCTTAAATATCGTTCAGATTTGTTGAGTAAGTACATAAGCAAAGTAAGAGCATATAGCGTTTATCAATCCAATAATAACTCGAAGGATGTATAGGAACGATATACAATCCTATTTTTACTCATAGTATTTTTGTACTACATTTTTGTTTTTAGTGTTATAATAACAATATGTGTTTTGAGAACGACGTGGATCCTGAAGAAAACATGGAAACCTGTATAAATTATTGCTATGTTCTTCAAAATTTTCTTTTCAGACTTCACGTTATTTAATGTTAAATGTTATTTATGTTAAAAATGTAAAAAAATATTTGAAAAAATTGCAATAAAAATTGTGTTAAAAAATAATTAATAATTTGATAAGCAAATCGATTTAAATTACAATAGCAGCAATAAATAATTTATTGCAACCACTTTTTACGACTTAATCAAGATTGAGATGAAATCATATAAAGAATTGAGTTAATGTAAAGTTAAGTTAGATGAAAATGAACACCACTTCGACGACCTTACATATTTGTTGCTAAATGAAGAAAATATGACAAAAAGAAAATGTTCTACAGGGGGTTGTGTACGTTCTTCCATGTCTTCTAAGCTGAAACTCATAAATAAATTCACGGATTTCTGCTTCACCTCATGCCCTCGCACGAGCTTTACTACTTCTCACTTATTCAGACCAAGTTCATTTTCTGGTTATATAAACACTTACACACATTTATCATATTTTTAAACGCCTATTTCATACTTTTAAACGCACCATGAAAATTTAACATTTTATTTATTACAACCCTCGAACAAATTTAAAACTTTGCCCCAATAAAGTTCAAAAGAAAGTCAATAACTTACTAATGCGAACACCTTTTGCATAAATTTAGTATGAAAAATCAAAAAAAAAAAAAAAAAAAAAAAAACAAAAAAACAAAAAAAAAACTGTCGAAAAACTAAGATTAGAAAATTTAAAATAGGGAAAAATAAAGAACTTAAATCGAAAAGTTTGGACATTTTCATGGTCCGGTGGTCTCACATCCTTTCTTTGCATTGCACTACAAAACTCAGGATTTTTGGATTTTTTCCGATTTTAGCTCTCAAGTGCAAGTGAAATTCAGAAATTCAGAAATTCAGCCTCAAGTCTGTCGTTCAGTCGTTAGTCGGTTGGTAAGACAATTTACACACAATCATACACTCGCATACTCACATACTCGCTTACTCGCTTACTCGTAAACTCGCACACTCCAAATTATTTGCAAATAATGTATGCATATACAAAAGTTGCGTCTCTGATTATTATGCGAAAATGTGCACACGCATGACAAAAAAGAAAAACATTGTTATACTTGCAAATGTAAGTATGTGCGGCGGAGTTTCTACATGAATTACTTATATTAGCAACTTCAAATGGATATTTTATGTTTTCATTTTTATTTTTATTTCTGCTTTTCTCCGTTGAAAATCTTTTATTTTTTCTGTTTTTATTGCATTTATTTGCCGATATTCACGAAAAAAATTTGAGCAATTTCGCATTTTTAAACAGGCGGTAAGCAGCTCACTGGCCTTTTAGTAGTTTAATAACGGTCAGGAACGTGCATTTGCAGAAGGGGAATTTTGTTGATTTAGTTCGCTTCAGTATCAATTGATTACCATTTTTTGTAATGATGGATTTTTACCTCTTGTGCATTTATATTTAAATTTTATTAATCAACACATGACTGAAAGTACCTTAGTAAGTTTTGACAGAGGGTATAGAGCTAAGCTAAAACCTATTTACGAAATAAGTATAATATGCAACGACAAGGGTCTTAGCTGTAAACTCCGTTTACTTGAAAAGGACTTCAAATACAATTTGGAATGGCTTCGACTGAAATATGTACATATATGTATTATTAATGAAATTCAAAATGTGTGAATATACTTTATAATAATACAAAAAAATCCATTCGAAGGAGTAATATTTTGGTTACAGTTTTCTATTTCAACACGACTTCAATATATTCACTATATTCACTATATTCGCAGATTCGCAGATTCGTATATTCGCATATTCGCATATTCGCATATTCGTGCAATTTAAAAAAATAGTTATAAATTTCACGCTTTAAGCAGAGTTTATTGCAATCACTAGAATAAAATCCATTAATATGTAATATGCTGAAATTTCTAACGGAATCAAGAATACTGCTTAATAAGATTGCTGTCTATTTTTCATTCCTGTCTAAGAACTCATATTTTCGCAATGTATCTGCTGCTAATGACTAAGAGAACACGCACCACTTTTAGCTTTTTCGAATTTTACGTCGTATCATGTGTTCATTTCATGTTTGTAGAAAGTTTTACACACATAAATAACGTAATAGGAAAAGTCGGCAAATATACGTATCTAGTATATTTCAGCAAATTTGTATATATTGTATGTACTGTAGCTACACATGTATACATATTTAAATATACAAATTCATACGAGTATGCAATCTGCAGCAATTCATTGAAACAGCTGAGGAATAAAATGGTCTTTTGCATTTATTATTCGTTTGTAGGGTTAATAACATAATAAATGATTACTTTTTGTGATTTTGCAGCCTCATGTGGTCCTCTCATTTATTGTAGACCAGACCACTCATGAAGTATGCCTTAGCATATGTAAATATCATCCATACAGTCGCAAAATGGGAAAAAGTTAACAACATGGGAAATACTGCCATCTTAGCTTACATTGTACATAAGTACGAACTATGCTATAGCTGTGAGTACCAGCGGAACACAAGTAACCAACTAGTAACCAATTTAAATGCAAAACACAAATAGAGCTTAATAAAAATACAGAAGTCTTCAAATAAGAAAATATGGCCGTACGCTTTAGTAGTTATGCGTAACTCACAATGGAAATAAATCGCAGCTACGAAATAGGATTTTTTGCTACAGAAGTCTATACTGTTAAACTTTTTGTTGATCAGTTCCTTCATTATAGAAAAGTTGTCTTTTACAACTTTAAAGGTAAATAAAAATATTGATCCTCACACCACTTCAATTTTCATTCTAAATTGCTAATATCTCACTTACTAATTATTGACGGTCTGAGCATCAAGCTCATGCGATCACCTGAGCATTAAGCTAAAGCCATCACCTGAGCATCAAAATGCTCAAAGCTTCAATTAGCACAAATAATAGTTGCTCTGATTTTATTGTATGCAATATTCTCATTGGTTGGGTGAAAAGTTGCTTTAAATCGTATGTAATATATAAATAGTATGCGACTGCTCAAAACTTCGATCAGCTCTATAATACTGGAATCTCTGATTTTACTCTACAAAATATACTGATTGGTTGGGTAAAAACACGCTTTGAACTTTTGTAGGTAATTTTTTTTTGTAACACATCCTTAAATCATGATAAAAGTTATGATAGTTTCTAAAAAATTCTTATTGATTTACAAAATGAGAGAATATGATATATAATTGAATAGGGATCATTTTGAGATTCACCAACTGGATTTTCAGAATCAGACAAATAAAAATGAAAAGTCTGATTTCTTGAAGAAAATAACAACTTAATATGGTATCTAGATGCTTCTTTGTGGATTTTGGCCAATTCCAGGACATTCCCCTAAAAGGCACCTTAAGCTTCATCAAAGGTTTGAGGTGATTTTTTAAGGTCATGTAAAGGTACATTTACACCAAAACGAACGCTTGCGAACGAACGAATTTTTGCAGATACCATTACCTGCGAATCTGTATTTGTTCGTAAGCGAACGCATTGGTGTGGTTGCACCTTAAGAAACCTTTCAGTTTCTTATATGATAACACAATGGACTAATAGACCTAAGTGAACGCTTGAGATCGCCGATATAATTGATCATTTTGCTTTAAAAGTTGACTAGGCTGTCGTAATAAAATAACAATTTAATATAGCTTACAAGGGAAACCTTACACCCAACTATGGTCGCCGGTCATTTAGAGTTACTTTTCACTTGTAACCAACCAAATTATGTAAGGAGTCCTTATAGTATTTTCTAGAGTAGATAATGTTATTATGATTTATTTCAATAAATAACGATTATGTTAAATTTATTGTTAAATATTACAAATATAAGCTATAGGTAACTTTTTTTACTATACATTATAAGCAAATCAACAAAATTGTTTGAAGAAATATTTTTAAAAATATGTTTATTATGTTGAAGCTGTTTTGAGCTAGTGCACTTTTTTAACTTGAGCTAATCTCATAACCCCTCTTTACACCTTGACTAGATTAGTTATTGTTTATCACATCATTAGACTAAGCAATAATTGACCTCAGATCTGCATACCTCTCCGAGGAGCCATTTACAGTTTAATTTTTTAAATTTCTCG